TGTGAAGATATTTATCTCGTAATTGTCGCCATTCGCGCAGAACTCCCGTTTTAGCAACAAAATTCTTGGTCAGTTCTGCCCAGACCTCCTCCTTGTGCTTCCATGTGAAGGCATCCGATTTTTTGTTATTGAGCACATCGTTTCTCTCCTCGACGAGCTCGACAAGCGTTAGCTCCTCCTCCGGCGAGAAATTTTTACCACGTTTTTTAATTTTTTCACTGGACATTTGAATTTTGAATTGAGATCACAATATAAACAATCAAAATCAGTTTATTGTTGTTTATTTACAAGCCTGGTCATTTCTATTTTTATGACCTGCTCAATTAATTATCGTACGCGATTTGTTTGGTTTAACAATACGATAAGGAAAACGCATAGAAAGTAAATCCAGCTGAAAGTAAATTCAGCAGAAAGCTGCCATGAACTTTGCCAGGAACATGAGAGAACGGAGCATAAAAGAGGCAGCTGTTAAATTTGTCAGTTATCGGAAAAATGTTGCACGTCAGAGCCAGACCCTCCTATTTTTTTTTTGTTTTTTTTTTTTTTTGCAACCTGCCGCTTAAAAGGAAATATATTTCCGAATATTTCACATTAGCGATTAAAACCTGACGTGCTCGCAAGTGGTACGCATAAGCCTGATCCATAAACAGTAATTGTATTGTTTAACTTGACTTACTTCTTTGGTTCCTGCTGCTCCATTATCCTGGCTATTTTAGCCGGCGTCTCCGACTCCTCGTTGCTTTCATCATCTGTGCTCGTGTCTTGCTCAACTTTTATGGGCCCAATTTCCATATCGTTCACTGTTAGCGGATCAGCTTTTTTATCTGTGTCCATATGCGCCAACTTTTGACGAGTTTTTGGTACGCTTGTCATTGCATTACATCGAATTTATTGTTTGCCTTATGCAAAACTTCAACGAGCACAAACTGGCCAAACATAAATGCAATACTGCAGTTTCTGTGCGGCTGTGAAAGTTCGATAGGTTTTCGATAGGAAACAGCTGCCGCTGTTAAAAATGCAACACTGCATTTATCTGCGTGCGCAAATGTTTGAATTGTTATTTTTTATTTAAAATCTGTACGCTTTTAAATGATTGCCCAAAAAGCGGGCAGATTTTAAATAATAATAAGAATAAGAATAAGTATATATGCACAAAATAGTAGCTTATAATACTACGCTTCTTTCACTTAAATGCGCTATTAAATATTTAGCATAATGTTAACACTGCTGTACACGTTTCGTTGTGACTGGCAAACAGCTGCGCTGCCCAGTGAATGTCTGAATCGGGTCAAGTGTACGTGGATTTTAGACGACTTTCACGACACCGACGCGACAAACAAATTAGAAAATTAACAAATGTTAGTAGTGTAAATAGTAAACAATTCACAATAACAACTAGAATATGAAAGTAAACGTTTGAAAGCAACAAAATTGATTTAAATATATATTTTCTACAATAACTACAAAACGGTCTCTCACATTAAATGCGCCTGACTCAGAGCTGCTGATAAAACGAAAAGAAACCAGTAAAACAAGCACAACAAAACGCTCGATAGCTATTAATTATTGATAATGGCACCCACACGCAGGCCCAGCGACGGCCTGCTGGCGAGAGTCAATTTTCCGCTCTACGCGGTGGACATGCTCACCAGTCGCCACATTTTGGTTGCCGGCGGCGGCGGTTCCAGCAAAACAGGCGTTGCAAATGGCTTTGTAAGTGTGTCGAATATATGTCCAAGTGGTCAACTATGCGGGCCATAAATATAGAAGAACCCGACTCTCTTCAAGCCAGTTGAATCCATCTCTGTAACTATGGCTTTTTGTTTAGGAAATCTACGAGCTTTATCACAACGGCAGCCACTTTTGCGCGGAGGAGGTGCTGCGCCACGAGACGGGCGCCAATGTGGTCATGAATTTTGCGGTTCGCAACAGCGGACGGCGTGCGTATCTGTGCGCCGGCCAGGAGGCGCATTGTCAAATGTATTACGTTCAGCCACGCATCGCATCCGAGGATGAAACGGATCGGGACCGAAAGCCAGCGCCAGTCGAGCGTCCGCATGAGAATGGCGTGCGGCAGCGGGGCGCAGCACATTCCGGCGTGGAGGCGCTACCCAATGGCCATAATAGACCCGGCAATAAACCGGCGACTGCCGACGATATTCTAAAGCAGTTCCAGCGTCTGCATTTCGATATCCAAGCGGCGGATGTGGTGCAAACGGATTTCCTGAGCGGCGCGGAGCCGCTGCAGCGCGTGGTGCGCATCAGTGGTAATGGACAGCTGATGGCCACGGGCGGCACGGACGGACAGTTGCGCATCTGGAGCTTTCCACAGATTAAGCTGAGCGCCCAGCTGGCGGCGCATACCAAGGAAATCGATGATCTGGACTTTAGTCCCGACTGCAAATATATTGTGAGCATTTCCAAGGATGCGCAGGGCATCGTTTGGGATCTGAGCACGGGCAAGCAGCATCACAAGCTGCAATGGCAAACGCCAGAGGGTGCCAAATATTTGTTCAAGCGCTGTCGCTACGGCACCGTGGAGGCGCACAAGGATAACTACAGGCTCTACACCATTGCCAATCCGTTCGGCAAGGTGGGCAAGCAACGTGGCTATCTGCAGCAATGGGATTGTGCGAGCGGTCAGCTGCGCGCCGCGGTGCCCATTGACGAGAGTCTGTCCTCGCTGGCCGTCAGGGATGATGGCAGATTTGTGGCCGTGGGCACCATGTTCTCGGGCAGCGTATCCATGTACATAGCGTTTAGTCTGCAGGTGAGCGGCGTGTTTTCGCACGGATTTGTACTAGAAATTAACTTGTTTTCTTTGGCAACAACAGCGTGTGCTGCATATTCCCCATGCTCACTCCATGTTTGTGACCGGACTACAGTTTCTGCCCATTACCAACGAGGAGGGACCGCCCATCTCCAGCGATACCGAGGCAGCCGTGCTCTCCATATCCGTGGACAATAAAGTTTGCATACACAGCCTGCCGCAGCGGCGTAAGTATCTCTTGGAAGTTCCCTCTAAATCAATAGCAAATCTCATGCCCTATTTCTTTGCAGGCACAATTCCCGCTTGGCTTGCCATTCTCTTCATGATTGTCATGATATTTGTGGTGTTTGTGTTCTGCTCGTATATTGGCATCTGAAGACTGCCTGCTCGACCGGCTGAATCAATTTGCATTATTAGTTCATAAACAATGTTTAGTTTTGTAATAGGCTATACCCTCCTACACCACCATCACCCACATGAACCTAGCTCCCACTAATTATTTTAAGTGTATAGTTGTTTTTTTGTGTCGGCTGCCTTATCTCCTACACTCACTGTAGCTTTCGTTATTGTATCATAATTTTGCTTCAATTATCTCAAATTTATCGTTCATAATTGTTATATGACAGTAAATAGCTTGCAATCGAATTGATATTTGATTATTATAAAAAAAAATATAAATTAAAACAGGTGAATGAACTGCAGTTATATAGCAATAAATGGAATATACATAACGAAAAACTGAGCTTTTACTTACACGTTAATTCCTTCTGTTAGGCAATAATAAAGTCGCCGTTAAAAATATGGTTCAATTTGTAATATAATAGTTCACTTATTTTTCAAAGCTTTCAAACGCGCGCGTTATTTTCTAAGCTTCTGTTAAGTAAGAGTCACTTAACAGTACATATCGCTGTAGTTGGGTTGGTTGCCGTTCACTGCAAACGTTGACATGTCTGCTCCAATTGTAAGCGCTCACTTCACTAGCACTTTACATTTCCCGCTTGTTTGCAGGTTTTCATTTTTATTCTTACAAAAACGCACATATACTTGACACTTTCCGACATTAACACAAGAACTACTTGGTATATATGTTAAAAAAAAGCTTTGCACTTTGATTAATCTATTAATTTTGCTTATACACTTACTTTTTCACAATTTTTCACACGCGCGCGCAGTTAATTAAGCGTGGCCAAGCTAACAGCTGCTTAACATTCCGATTCACTGTACACGTAAAGTTGCCGTTCACTGAAAACGTTAACATTTTTACTCGATTGGCGCGCTTAGGTTTTATCACATTACATTTCCCGCCTGTTGCTGTATTTGAATTTGAATTTTTATTTTTTATTTTTATGCTATTTGGTTTTTTTATTATTTCGCTTGCGCTTGCTTGAAATATTTCATGCTACAATTTATAACTATATGTATATTACTTAGCGTTTACAAAAAATTATTTATGGCGCACACTAAATATGCGTTTTACATAGATTTTTGCTTTGTTTTTTTTTTTTTTTTTTTTTTTATTTGTTGTTTTTTGTCTGTTTAATTTAAACTTAATTATGCTTGCTTGCTCTTTGCTTATCAGTTCATTATTCTCCGTATAGTAAAATAGTGTATTAAATTGTTGTGATTTACATTTCAAGTGAATTTTGTTGCATGATGTTTGTTTCTTACGTTTCATTTCAATTCTTTATATTATTGTTTTTTTTTTTTTTGTTTTTTAGTTTTTGCTTGTATCAAATATAAAATGCATATCAAATTGATTTAAATTTTGGATGATTACTTAAACATATAATGAATTGATGGGCGCGCATTAGTTACATAATTATATAATTGCAGTTATATGTAATATGTAGGTTTAGTTTAGAATTATATGTGTATGTATTGTATATTAATTGTATTTAGTTGCTGCTGCTGCATATTGCCAATATGGCCTTAATTAGCATAAATATTTAAATGTATTTCATTATGTACGTAGCTTATTATTGTTATGTGTTGTTGTTTTTGTTGTTGTTGTTGTTGTTGGATTTCATTGTTGATTTTGCTTTAAATTTGAAGTGCAATGCCAATTGTTGTTGCAATGTGACTTAAACAAAAAACACAACGCACAAATTAAAAGTTAAAAAAAAACATATATACGAAACATTTAACAAAATACACATATTAAAAGTATATAAACGTAATAGGACATACAATTTGTTGCTTTTCTTCTTTTTGTTTTAAAAGATATTTTGCTTTTTTATAATACTTTTGGCATTTCTCGCTGCTTAAAAAAGAAAACAAACACAAACACAAACATTGACAAAACATTGCTGCATGCAACATTAAACATTAAATTTGTAAACTAAAACTAATTTCAGTTAGAATTTATTGAACAGTCTTTATGCTGATTAGTTGCCGCTGCCGTTGCCCTTGCCGCTGCTTCCACTACGTGGCCTTGGCAAACTGGATGACGGAGCTCATGCGCATCACCTTGGCGCCGGCAGCATTGGCGGCAACATCTGTTGTGGCATTTGGTGCAGTGGCTATTGTTGCCACCGTCTCGTTGACGCCGCCCGCTGCACTATTATTGGCGCCGCTGCTGCTGCCGCCGCCGACGCCGCCACCAACAACGCTGCTGGCCTCGCCCTCGTTCATGTAGTGCTTGCGCTTGCGCAGCGGCAGGGTCAACACATTGCGATCGGCCATCATCAGGGAATCGCTTTCGGGCGAGGAGCTGCGCTCTGGCGATTCGGTGCTGGAGCGCAGTCCAATGGCCGCCTCAACGCGACGCACTATGTCCGCATTGGGCAGGGCAGATCTGTGTGAGGCAGAGAGAGAGAGAGAGAGAGAGAGATTCAGTTAATAAAAGTCGAAGTCGAGTCGAATGGCAGCTGCTACTTACTCATACATGGGCACCGGCACATAGCCCTTGTGCAGTCCATGACGCGCCAAGTCGCCGCGCTTGAAGTGCTCGATGAGCACATTCGCCTCGTGCGTGTCATCATAGTTGGCCGCCAGATCGCTGACATGCAACGTGGGCTGGGATTGGGATTGGGATTGGGGCTGTGCCTGTGCCTGTGGCTGGGACTGTGGCGTGGCGGCATGTCCGCGTCGCAGCTGCATCATTTGCAAGGCAGCCACCTGCACATCCTCATCGTTGTCATTGTCATCGGCGTGTTCGTCTCGCGCCATGCTCGCCGCCTGCAGCAGCGCCGACAGGCCGGAGGGCGCAGGTGCGGGCGTGCTGGGCTGCAGCTCCACTAGACTGGGCGTCTGTGGCTGATAGTAGATCATTTGAGGCGCCGGCTGCTGCTGCTGCATGCTCAAGTCCGTGGGCAGCTCCTCGTCCGCATAGCTGGACAGCAGCTGAGGGGCGCTGGCGACGCCGCTATCGCGACTCAGCGCATCCGGCTCGTTGGGCGCCGTTGTGGCCAGATATTGCGGCGGCGTCGAGGCCTGACTGCTGGCCGGCGAGTATATGGATGAGATGGAGCCGGGCGAAAGCGGCGCTGCGCTGGCAGCTGCCACAGCGGCAGCAGCGGCTGCTGCGGCTGCCTTAATGCTGCGCGGCTGACGCGGCTTTTTGACAGCCGGCGGCGAGCTGGGCGGCGAATTGTTGCTGCTCTCCGAGTTGCTGGCTATGGATGAGGCAACTGCGACTGCTGCAGCGGCTGCAGCGGCCTCCACCTCATCCTCGGGCAGCTCATTGGCATGGCCCTTAATGTGCGCCTCCATCTCCTTCTTGTTCTTGAAGGTCTCATCGCATATGGTGCACTTGTAGCACTTGGCGCCGTAATGCTGGACACGATGCAGCTTGAGCACATGATTGTAGCCAAAGTCACGGAAGCAGATGTCGCAATGGTAGGGCTTCTCGCCGGTGTGGGTGCGCGAGTGCACCTTCAGCTGTTTGGAGCAGGTGAAGCCCTTGCCGCAGCCGGGCTCCGGGCATTTGTATGGCTTCTCGCCGGTATGCGTGCGCATATGGATAACCAGCTGGCCGGACTGTATGAATGTCTTCTCGCAGACGGAGCACTTATGCGGCCGTTCGCCCGTATGGATGCGCATGTGACGATGCAGTTTTCCGGAATGCTCAAAGGCACGCTCGCACACATCGCACTTGTACGGTCGCTCCTTGGTATGGATGCGCCGATGCACCTGCAGATTCTCCTTAACGCTAAACAGCTTGTGACAGAACTCGCACTCAAATGGACGCTCGCCCGTGTGCGTCCTGTAATGCCGGATCTGTAAGATTAACAATTGGAATAGGCATGAGTGCAGCTCTTCAAACTCCACCCTAATATTTAAATTCATATTTCTGAATAATAACTCTAGATTTTCAATTAAAAATCTGCATAGTGTGGAAATTTCTTTAAAAAAAAAAGACAAATTTTCACTCACATGTGTGGAAAATAAGTGAAATCTGTGAAAATCAGTTTTTTCTCTCGCTTATATCACAAGAGAAATGATGTGAAAGCCAGACTTAGAGCGGGTTTTCGTTTCAGTGGAAATAACAAATCCACACATAAGAGTGGAAAATGGTTTAAATCAGCAAGTTGGCGTTTTCTTGTTTTGTTTAGATCAAAGATCAATGTAAAACTTATTTGCAAAGCTACTTAACCGAAATTCGGCAATTCCACCCATCGGGGTGGAAATGTACGTGAAAGTTTGTATGCCAAAATGTGAAATATTTGCAAGCACATTTTCAGAGCTCAACATAAAATACTTATTCGAATTGTTTAACTTTGGCAAATCCACGCAAATGTGCGGAAAATGGGTGAAACACAGGAAAATAAGTATTTTAAAGAACAGCCCACAACCCCATCCCTCTCCCGGGCTAACCCCATTCAGACTAGCTAGTTATGATAGCCATGACACTTACCAAACGCGCGGGCACCGCAAATGTCTTCTGGCACACATTGCACTGATAGGGATCGGCGCCGGCGGCCACATTGGCCAGCGGCTTGATGGTCGGACTTTTGGGTATGCCCAGCGGCAGGCCCGACTCGTTCAGCTCGATCGGCGGCATGCCGGAGCTGCTCGAGCTGCTGCTGGCGCCCATTGTGGCACCCTTAAGGCCCAGTGCGAGATCCGCATTCTTGGCGTGCGATTTCGTGTGCGAGGTGTGCGCCGATTTGCTGCCAAAGGTCATGCCGCACTGCTCGCACTTGAACTGCGGCTTGTTGATGTTGGGCTTGCGGGGCGTGGCAAGCGTTTTAGTTGTCGCCGCTGAGCCATACGCCAAGGGCAGCTCTGTTTTGATGCGCTGCTGTGTGGCAGTTGTTGTTGTTGCTGCTGCTGCTGTAGTTGTTGCTGTTGTTGTTGTAATACTTTTATGTTGTTGTTGTTGTTGTTGTTGCAGGACCAATTGATAGCTGGCAAGTTGCTGTTGCTGTTGCTGTTGTTGCTGTTGCTGCTGCTGCTGCTGTTGCAGCTGCTGCAATTGTCGCTGCTGCGGCGTCTGCAATAGCTCGTAGTGCTCATGCTGACCGCCAGGTGGCGCAACACCAATGCCGCCACCGCTCGTTGCGGTGAGTGGCGTCTGCAGGCAGAATTGCGTCTGACTGGGCTGCTCCGTCTTTATAAGCAGCTGATTAGCGGGATAGTAGACCATGTTGGTTGTGGATGAATCTGCAAAGAGATGGGGACAAAGGGAAGCGCAAAGTTAATATTAATAAGTAATATATATAAATAATTAATATTAATTAGAAATTTTCAAACAGTATAATTTCAAATATATAGTATATTTTCAAATATATTTTCAAATAGTATAAAATATAAAAAAAAAAAAAAAATATTAATCTAACTTTTATTATAAGCAATAAAAAATTACCTAAAATGAGTTTAAAAACTTGTAAATTACTAAAAATGTGTTAATAATCAAATACACTTAAAAATATAAATATCCATAATATAAGTTTAAAAAAAACTAACCTTAAAGTGAAAATATGTTTGCTTAATTAAAAAAAAAATATAATGAAAAAAAGATTTACGTTATTTTAAAATTAATATAATATAATAAAATATATTTAATAATCTAAAATATAATTATTAAAAAAAAAAACTACAAAAATATAAAAAAAAAGTTTTAAATTAATTAATATGCCAAAAATAACTCGAAATTTAAATTAAATTTAGTTTAAGTAAAATTGATCAACTTGGAATATTTAATTTAACAATTTACAAAATTAAATTGATCTTCTATTCTATTAAGTGAGAGTCAAACTAAGCAGCCTCCATAATTTAATTAAGAAAGATCACTAAACCCTATAAAAAAAAAATTTATTTAAAGAAGAGAAAAGATTAGCAAACTTTGTCTTAGTTCTTCTTAAAAGAAAACCATTTTGTATCTGTTCATCGAACTTTCCGAAAGTCAATTCAAAGCATATGACGAGAGTTTCTACGCACTCTAGAGAGGACTTGAGAGTCTTTCGAGGTGTTTGCAACCCTGGTCTTGGTCTTGTTTAAGAACTTGACAACCTGCATTACGCATTTTCCTTGGCCGTGCCAGCAGCGATGAGTAACAACGCAAAAGCCCAAAAGGTAGCCGCGCATTAAGTTCGTTGGTGGTTGGGAAAACGGAAAACCCGTTAAGGGTGGGGGGCCCCCTTGGCACCAACAACAACAACTGAAAAAAAAAACCACCCTACGCACTCGAACTACGCAATTTTCTGTTATTGCCGGCCCAAGTTTTCACGAAAAAAAAATAAATGGAAAGGAAAACGCATAAGCTTGAGGGGTAAGGACTGCGAGGAGTGTCAAAGAAAAAGAGAGAGAGAGAGAGAGAGAGAGAGGCAGGGTGGGGTTTCTTATACCCCGAACTACGCACTAGCATGAACGGTAAATGCGGGAATTATTCGAAAATTTCCCTAATCTAGGGAAATTTGTCGCAGCTTGTGAAGCTCGGAAACCGGCATTTGCGACTTCTCTCTTTTGTTTGTTATTTTGATTTGCTCCCCCACACACGCACCCCCCCCCTCCACCCCACCACTCCCATCACTCTACAAGCAAGAGAAACTGAACTGCGTATACCAAAACAAAATGGCGTACGCTTTGGCCTGCTCGGAGGGGGGGGGGGGGGGGGGGGGGGGGGGATTACGGCAAAGTTTTTCCCGGCTTGTTACTGGCGCTTTTCTTTACCTTTGCCATTTGTTCTCTTTGGCGCTGCTTTAGCCTTAGTTTTGGATACATCGAGCAGTTCCGTGCCGGATTTATTCAGCGCATCCTTAATCCAATTTTGCTTGGTCCCCCAAGTCTTTTTCTCATTGGTTCGCTCCGTCATGGTGTCCGATAATATGCTTTTCTTTATGCTGCCCAAAACTAAAGATGTCGAATTTTTGATTTTCTTGGTTTTAGTCCAAAGTTTTGTGGCAGTCCATGTTTAGTCTTAGGTTATCTATGTGCTCGGAGATCTTTTTGGGTATATTATATAGTATTATAAAGTTCTTGAGTTCAGACTTGTTTTTTTTTGTACTGTTTTTTTTTTGTAAATCAGTCCTGAGTTTGAATTTTTGTATAGCGACAGTCTTAAGTTCTAGGCGTATTTCATTTGAATTCCTCCTATATCTTTCTTAATATATATATATATATATATATATATATTTTTTTTTGCACTTTCTTGTTTGTTAAACTTTTTAGTTCTTTGCCTGCGTTTAGACAACAATTTTCATTTTTCGCGTAATTTTTTGCTTAATAACACTCTTTTTGATAATTTTGATAATCTTTTTCAGATCTTTGGACTGTTGAACGGGCGGCTGTTGATAGTGCGGATAGTTTTGGGTCTGCTGCTGCTGCTGATGATGATGATGATGATGATGATGATGATGCTGATGATGATGATGATGATGCGGAATCAGGTGAGTGCCTTGACCGGAGCACTTATGCATGCGCATTTTTCTAAACGATCTTAGGATATCGTTCATTGGGAAATCGGTCATTTTCGAGCTCCACTCATGCACACACACACATACACACACACACACGCACGCACGCACAACTCAACTGGGAGGCGAGTACTGTGCAGAGCTCTCACATTGCCGCACGCGAAGTTCTACGTTTGATGGTGCACCGGAGACTGGTGGGTGAGTTGCCGAAAAATATGCTGAGAGCCCGTACCCAAACCCAAAAACCAGACCAAGAACAGAAAGAAGAAGAAAAAACCAACCACCAACAACATGAGCCGTCGGCCCATTGATCTGTGTTCTGACAAACAGAATTTCCCAAGTGCGAGACGCGACGTGCATTCAATTGGGAAAAGCGAGTTTATGGTATTTTAAACGAATTAGGTTGAGCGGGAAATTATTTGAGTGGTTTCTAATTTGAGCTAGTCTCTTATTTGAGCGACTTTTTTCGAGTTTGAGCGAGTGAGCGCAACAACTTGAGTGGGAAATTCGGAGCGCCTTTAGGATGGGCAATTTGAGTGGGAAATTTGAGCTAGTTTCATAAATAAAATTACTTTATTAGGGCAATTTGAAAGGGAAATTATTGAAGTACTTTCTTAATGTGTGTTAAGAAACATATGAGGAGGAAATAACTACTTTGTTAGGAATTGTTAGAGTAAAATCAAAGAACTTGAAAAGGGAAATTATGGGAGTTTTGGAGAAATGACTCTTCGAGTGGTTTCCTATTTGAGCTACAAAGTAAACAAATAAGGGCAATTTGAAAGGGAAATTATGCGAGTACTTTCTGGATGTGAGTCGAGCAACCTATGACTAGAAACTTACGAGCTATATGAAGTGGCATATTATTTGAGTTCATTCGAATTTGAGCGAAAACATCTGAGCATATGAACATATCAAGTGCTAAACGAGTGCTATGACTCATCGCAACAACCAAAAATCCAAATCTTATCATATTATCAAAAAAAAAACAAGACAAAAAAGAATACCATCATTTGACAACATTTGATTTTCAACTGAGTCATGCTGAATTTGATACATTAATCTACATAATACCCTTTATAAATATCATTCAAATAGATATATATGCGCCAGAAATAGTAACGATGACATAAAAGTTAAAGCCACTAAAATACTATGTAAATTGCGAGCATTTTTGCAAATCAGTTGATTAGATTAGATACGGCTGGACGGGCCTAACGCAATAGCTTTGAAATAGGGTAGAGCACTTCTAGATTACCGATCGCATATGTCATATATATAACACTCTATTTCAGCTGGTCATGTCAAAGTCTCAATAATAAAACTAAAAAGAAGAAGCAGAATACCCTATAAATATTTCACTGATTATCAACATAATCTAAAGATGCGTATAGAAAGTATTTCGAAATCGAAATCGAAAAAAAATACAATATTAATACAATACTTGACTACAGCTTCTTCTTATTCATATAAAGAACAGTTTCTGATCCTGATTTTGTGATCATTTCCACCTTCGACAACTTGAAACTTGAAAAGCGCTAAAAGCATGAAAAGTCCAATGGAAAAAAAGAATAATTTTTTCATTGCACGCAAGTTCAAAAAACTTTTTCAAGTTTTTTGTTGTTGTTTGCTTTACAGTGCCAGGTATGTGTGTGCATGTGTGTGTGTGTGTGTGTGTGTGTTTGTTGGACTGTGCCTCACACAATTCGTTAAACTGGCGCAAAAGTTCATTAACATTCGACACAAAAACTATTTTCGTGTGTCTGTCGAAACGAAATTAAATACATATCACATATGTATGTGTGTATGCATGATCTCTCCCTCTCTCTCTCTCTCTCTCTCTCTCTTGCGCTCTTTCCCATTCTTGCTCTATTTCATACTGCGCTTTGAAGGTAAGTCCAAAAGAAACACACCGAAATAATTTTTTTTTTTTTTTTTTTATCTATTTATGAGTTTAAAAGCACGAGAAGCGCACAATAAGAGCTCGGTCAATGATCGTGTAGATCTGCTGCCTACCCCCCCCCCCCCCCCTCTCGCCCTCCCACACCCCTTGTGAGACAGGTACACCTTACCCACTCGCACATTTAGTGCTGGGCAATACTCGTATGTTTCGTTTGAAATCAAGCTGTTTACCGTTATTTTTGTTGGGATAGCTCAGAAATGGAGCGCAACGCGCTTGAAACTGGTCTTGGAACAGATCGAGCGCCGTCTGGGAACAGCTAACTTGTATGTTGGATAGATCAGTTAGGCGACTCATAACCGATAATAAGAGCAAAAGAGAAAGAGCGTTAGCGACGCGAGAAACGAGTAAGAAAGAGAGAGAGGGAGAGAGAGAGCATAAAAGATGAGAGAGCCACAAGATTTATGAACAGATAATGCAAATGGGAAATTAAAGAGTGGAACATGGTGACTTTTATTAATTTACTTAATAATAATTCTTTTAAGCTGTTTAATTGGCGTTTAATAGTTTTCTATAATTGTAAGCTTATTTTATTTTTAAAAACTTGTTAGTCTCTCTTAAATTTTCAATCTATTAAATGCCAGACTATTAGTCAGTAAATTAAAATAATAATTGTTAGAAATTTAGTTGTATACACAGACAAGTGCAACTGATATTGATATCTGATAATAACAGCTGGCATTATGTGTACTAAAAACTTCAGATTTTAACTGGAAAAAAAAACCCCCCTTGTCATAAGACTCGCGTGAATTTAATAGTGTTATTGTAAGCTTTATAGAGAAGGAGTTATTGAAGGAGAATACACACACACACACACACATATATATATATATATATATATGGCATGTATTTGAAGAATCTATATAATATAGATTCAAGATTGTTCAGATCATAAAAATGTAAAAAGTTGAAATTGACAAATATCGCCACGATATAGTTTTACTTAAAGCTATGCCTAGTCTTACGACTGTTCTATGCTCTTAATTGAAGCTCTAGTTTAAGTTATAGATTTTGTATTATAATTTATTTAGGTCTTTTATATATTCAATCTTCTTAAAGCTGGAACGCACAAGTTCCACAATTTCCAGCAATTAGTGAGTGCTCCTCAAAATAGCCGAGACCCAGACCCTCAGCACACACCTCTGTGAATGGGAACAGACACATTTACATACATAAATATGCTATACATATATACATACATATACATATATGTATGGGTATGTACTCTGTGTGCCATAGAGCTACAATTTGTTGTTGTTGTTTTTTTGGGAGGTCAATGAACATTTAAATTGAAGCAAATTGTAAGCTTTTCTCGCTCTCTCTCTCTCTCTCTCTCGCTCGCTCTCTCTCGCCTTGTCTGTCGCAGTCTCTGTGATTTGTTTACATATTTTCTGACCATTTGTCTGGCGTATCCATTACAACAAACTCTTCTTCTTATTGTTGCTGTTATTGCTGTTGTTGTTGTTGTTTTTTCTATTTGAGCTTTCAATTAAAAATTTTCGCTACGGTCGCGATAAGATAGAATTCGCCTGCGGCGTATTCATTAAGTTTTTTTTTTTTTTTTGTTTAGTCTAGTTGAAATTTTAATGTGGGAAAACTACTGAATGAAATTTTGTTGCGGAAGCCTTTCAGGGACGCACTAAAATAAAAAAATGAAAAAAAAAGAAACTGTCATGACCGATAAGATATTGATAAGAGAGTAGAGAATCGTGTGACCGGGAACTTAGCGCATGTTACTGGAAATACCCAGACGAATTGTTATTGCTAGCTCTGGAAATCAGAATATTCCAGCAAACAGAATTGAATATAATATAATTTATGATTTTATTCCTTTTAAACAAAGTATACAACTTTTATACTTTTTGTAAGTTAGTTTGTGGCTTAAATTATAGTTAACAATAATTTATTTTTAATTTGACCATATTTTTATTGCATTATAATTACGTCTATAACTGCCAACAACAACTCTTTCATAAGAGTAATTAAATAGTTGAATTAAAAGTCAATTTATAAAGTCAACTGTTTGTTCACATGGAACCAGTTCCAATACCGTTTGAAGGATCTGCATTTCCAGTGTCCGCAAAAAGTTGCGAAGGTCTAGACGAAGAGATTAACAGAAGCGTCAGCAGAGGACACCTACACATACATACACAAGCATAGGCGTGCCTATGTATGCGTGCGTACGATTGAGCGAGCAAACGTTGGCAAAAGGAGAGAGGGAATCAATCCAACAAATTATGTGTACATACATACATACATATATAGTCTAGCGGTTGGCCTAGGTCAAAACGACGCGTCGCGCCGCCAGCGAGACAAGACGCGTCGTACTGAGCGCTGAACGTGTGCGGCTACGGCTGGTGTTCTAGTAGGCAATGGAGTGGGGGGAGCTGGTGGGTGCTGTGGGAGGTAGCTGTTATGGCAGCGCGTGTGCAAATTAAAATAATAACTTTAATGTTAGACTTTTCATAACAGCATGACTTAACAGTTTTGCGGCAGTTAGTTAGTCAGATAATAAAATCTGACGCAATTTGTCATTGCAATAGCGATTTCTATTTATTTTATTTTCTGTTTTTTTTTTTTGCGTTAGTTTGTGCACTTAATTATTTCCATGTCAAGGTAGCAGGCGAAAGGAAATCAAGGCTGCAGCAAAAACAACCCCAACAAGAAGAATTTCACTTTCGCAGTGGCAGCAGCCCCACATGCAAGCACTTCCCTTTCATTTGACTGTCTCTCTCTTTCCAGTCACCTTGCCATCCGCCCACAGTCCAGCCTGCAATTTGCAACAACAACAACAACAACAACAACAACATGCAACGACGTGCTTACTCACTGCACATACAATTAATGCAAACACACACACATGCACACAGCGACAGCGACAGTTGCGCATTGCCTGCTGTGGAAGGTGTCGAAAACAAACGCACGGCCTCCTTATGGACGCGCACGCAAAAGCAATGTAAAACGCCAGCAACCAGGCAATGTGCTGTCGAAAACACTTGCACGCCCTCCACGTGTAGTTCAAGTTCATGACAAAACGACGAGCAAAGTACACGAGCGATATGCAGGCGAGAGAGTGTGAGAGAGAACATTTTGTGTG